GGCTCATAAGTTAATATCAACACATTGGTACATTTCATTCCCGCGTTTTCCCTCACCCAAGATATTGACAAGCATTTTATTTGCCGGACTTCCTCCTTCATGTTGTAAAGAGAGAAATTAAAAAGATGACTGGAATACTGAGAAATCACATAGTAAAGAGTCAAATTCATTATTAAAAAAAAATTGTATTCCCTTTGCGGTTGAATTTTCTCCAGCTGCACTATCAGAAGTGAATTATCAAAGCCAACTATCATTAGTTTTTATTTCAGAGTGACTTCAGAAGGCCACTGCAGTGTCGACAACCATCTTCTCTCTGCAGCAAAATAACCACTAACCTGACTGGGTCCCTCAGACCAAAGCAAAGCCCCAAGATATTTATGAGCTTTATGAGCTTTTTTAGAGTAGGGAGAAAGAAAAATCACAGTGGGAGGGTGTCTCATTTTTAGTCTTTTTCTTCCTCCAGATGTATTTAGTTGAAATGATTTCTTCTTCTTTTTCTCTTTTTCTTTTTCTTTTTCTTTTCCTTTTTCTTTTTCTTTTTCTTTTTCTTTTTCTTTTTCTTTTTCTTTTTCTTTTTCTTTCTTTTTCTGAACCCTCATGTCTACGACCAGCAGGAAAAGAAAACTGATAGGAAAGGGCTGCAAAGCCACACACATCAAGTCATCCAAAATAGCAGGGAGCTCTGGGAACAGACACGAAGTCTGAGCTGCTCTTAACTCTTGTTACACAGGTGGTTGAATTCCAGCCTCATCCACATTGAACACACTTCTCTGTCTGTACTGGGAGCTCTGGCTTTGCAGGGGTCCTGTGGGGTAAATGCAAACCAGGGAGCACCCTGTCAAGCCTCCAAGGGCAACGACATCTGTCTGTCTGGGTGTGAGAGCAAAGCACGCAGAGTGAAATTACTGGTTTGTCTTTTTGTTTCATTGTTATTTCACTTCTGTGCAGTTTCAATGACGTGGTCAAATGATTCCACAAGTGATGGTGCTGGAGCTACCCCTGCTAGCGGCTGGGAATGGGACCCTTTCAGTTCATTTTTTGCAGACATGAAGCAATCAAAAAAGAGGAGAAAAGTGTAAAACAAAGCCAGTGGCTTAACACATTTATTTATAAGGCAATTTCAAACAATGAGAAAACTTATGTGTTACACACGTGCACTTCAAACAACACTAAATTCAAGCCAGACCTTTGTCGTTCTGTTTGTTGCCGCCACCCGTGTGTTTGTTTTCTTTTAGCACAGACAAAGCAATAAGATTTCTCTAACCAAACAAAGCAGGAGTGGCCCCAGCAGGGAGACAGAGCCAACAGACGTGCAGCATATGGGGATGTGCAGCCGCCAGGTAAAGGATGCTCAGTCCTGTATCTGGCCGTGGCACAGCCCTTTTTTCTCAAGCAGATACAGCTTAAGCTGCAAGCCTGGGTTTCAGTATTTGAGTGCACATAGGCAGAGGGAGGGACAGATGCAATTCTTGATGATCTGTTGGGCTCACTGGTGAAACAAATGCTGCAGAACTGCTCAAATGAAAAGTAACAAAGTCACATGTGGCACTGATTTTCAGGGCAGTGCCTTGGCCACGATTTCAGCCCGGCATCCCGGCAGGCAACAGCAGCACGGGAACAAATGAGATAGCACTGTCTCCACACGGAGTGGATGAAGCACGAACACTTACACGGTCATGTCAAAGCTCACAGCTCAGCAGATTGCTTCATCTACAGCAACCAGACTGCTGGCAGCAGTCAGTCCTTTCCCTGTACGGATATTGAAGGGAAAAGGCTATTGTCACACCTCCATCCTAGAGATGAAATTCAGAAGTGAATTACAATTTCTGTGGTAAATGCTTAATGAGCAAGGCTGATAATCAAAGGTTGGGGTGTAGCATTTCTGCTGCGTTTAAATAACACAGAAGTTATCTGCAAACCGCCATACAAATGCAAACAACAACTTCAAAGAGCAGTGGCAGCTTTTTGCTTTCTTCTCCCTGGCTAGCATCACTACATGCCTGTGTACGCTTTGTAGTACTTTTTTCCATCTTGACAATTTAATTTTTTGTTTGCTTTCTTAAAGGAGGAGAAAAAAGAAACACAAAACTTTTGCTTTAATGATATGCGCCACGATGAACTTGAAAGTGGCTTACAGAAGCAGAGGCTGGCGTTCCTGTATGCACCAGTCAGTTGCTAGTGATTGATCTTGGGAGCCAGGCTTCATTTTCTAAGCAAAATAAGCTTAGAAATAAGCTTTGCAGCTGGCAAAATCTGATTAAAGTGAGTTTCATCTGATGTGGCTGTTGCCACTCACTTCAGCACAACGTCTCACTTTAACTACAGAGGACCTGCCAAAGACAGAACAAAAAGTATGCATCAGCTTATAATGCACCCTTCTAGAAGTTTAAGTGTTACTAATAGGCCATCAAGCTGCTCAGAAACCAGTATGCAATGATAGGTCAATGTGTAGAATAAACTATGTAGGACAAATTCCTATGCAAAATGTACTCCTATATAGATGTTATGGAGTTGGCTCCATCAACCTCAAGAGGAGGCCTAACAAAAAAGCAAAGATGCTAGCTGGCCTGACACTTCTGTTAAATCTAGGGCACAAAACATGCTGCCACTGATTGTTGCATAAATATAATAAAAATGTGGCTTTGTGACCTCGCCCCATAATTTTGGGAGGCTTGGGGCATCCAGGTGTACAGCGGCTTCTCCTGCAATGACAAAGCCTGAAGACATCCTGGCATGGCCTAAAATTGCTGGTGCTCATCATTCTGCTCTCCAGAAAGGACTAGCACTGCTCTGTGCTGCTTCCCAAGAGTTCCTTTTCCTCTCATTTCTGACAAAAGGGCAGCAGTGAGAGAAGGAAGAGTGGGCAAAATTACATTTGAAGAGGTGCAAATATAAAAGTGACAAGCTCAGCAACAAGTTTCATTCCAACAGCTATTTGCAGAGCAGCTCCTCTGCAGGATAACTAATGGCACGTGAAAAGGTCCCATGCACTGAAAACAGTCTGTCATGTTAAAATAAAGAGTTCTGAAGCTTTGAAGTATCTTGTGCATCTTCAGAAATAACCTGTACTCGGAAGGAGAGAGCGGAAACCACACAGCTCCTAATTCTTGTCAATGCTGGAGCCCAGGGCCACAGCAAGGAGCATACAGCTATCTTGCACAAATCTCTCCCAAAACCTTAATTTAAATTACTCTTGAACATTAAAGGCTGGCATTGGCCTACAAGTCTTTGCAACTGTATTAATTATTATGGCAACACGCAGAGCTTTGTAATTGGCTCCTGTCCTATAGCACAGCGCAAGGTTTATGGGTTAAGATGGTGGCAGGATGACGATGATGACAATTTCCTATTCAAAACCCAACCCTACCCAACAGGTGCAAGTGTCATTGCTGTGCCTGCTGCTCTGTGTAAGCATTATCCACCATGGTGGGTTTCATGGGACTTTGACATTGGCTTCCTTTAATTTTGTTTGTTCTGTTGAAATTCTGCCCCTTTCATCTGCCAGATGCCAGACAACTCTTGCAAAGGATCTAATCTATCATTCTTTAATTACTGTATTTACACAGGGATTCAGAAATGGCTTGGCAGAGTGGGTTTGTTTCTCTCATCTGAGCATTTGCTCTGAAAGCACAGGTCTAAGCCCAAAGCTGCCAACTGCCATTAGAGCTATGACATGCCCTTGTTCCACAGCATGTCTCCTTCCAGCAGCCTGCAAGGAACAATGGCTGTGCTGCCTGCCACATACACCAGGGAGGGGAGAAGGACGGGAAAATCAGCAACGAATAGCACATCATTGACTATTAAATTGTCAATCAAGTTTAATGCATCATAAAGAAGTAAAACTACATTGGCATATTTAAGACAAACACTTTTTTTCTATGCACACTATCCACTGGACAGTCCCCTTTTCAAAATAACTACTTTTAACAGTCCAAGACACTTCTTCAGAAATTCTTCACATACTCAACCTTTCACGCTTTTCATTTTTTTAATTTGTCTGAGAAGGAAAAAAAAAAAAATCATTAAACCTGAAAACATTTACATTGCAAGCCACGTTAGAATGCATAATAGGCATACAATAACCAATGTATAACAATTGTGTTTTACTTAGTTCACTTTGTTCATCGATAAAAGAATATAAAAATCTTGTTCAACCGAGTGTTGTGTATTAAAATAGATTTGTATAGTACTGCACAGTTTCTCCCGGAGTTGTGAAAATGGTTGAAGGGACCATGTGCTGCCTAGTGATGGGCGATGGAAAAAGCCAGTCCCTCGCGTGTGGGTTTTTTTTTTGTGTGTGTGTGTTTTGTTTTGTTTTTCTAAAAATAAAAAAGATATTCGGCACCATGTGATATGCTGATGTGAGAGACTAGCCTTGTGCCGTGCTCTGGTGGCTTCCTGCTTTCCTCAAGTACCTGTTGCACTAATTGATGAAGAACTCATAAGCAACAGAGGCGATGGCAGCTGGTGGGGGTGATGCTGAGACAACCGGGTGCCCGTTTCACTCCCCACCCAGCACGAGGCTGGGGAAGACGGGTGGACCCGTGGGGTCAGGAAGACTACAGGTGAAACAGCAGGTGTGCGAGGACTTGCCAGGCCAACCACGCACTTCCCAGTGTGCTAAGAGCCAACAGAACCTTAAATAGGAGTCAAGTTTCCAAAAAAAGAGGAAAAAAACAACCAACAAACTCTTATAATTTGCCACAGCCCGTCCCTCCCCCAAAGCTCTTGATATTACTCAGTACGAGAAACAACCCCATGAGGCAGTTATTTTTTTTTTTCCTGTACCATTTTGGCAGATAGTTCCACAAGCAAAAAAGAAAATAATAATAATAATAAAAAAACCCATATTTTTAACAATAAAAACGCAGTACAAAAATGTGAAGTTATCTTTTTGGCATTTTATCTGTACTGGTAAGAAACAAAAAGCAGAATATTTATTTGCTTTTTTAAAATTAAAAAAAAAAAAATCAAATACTAACAAAATACCCCAAAACAATCTGTTTAAAAAACGAAACCCAATCTGCCAAAGATATCCACTATTATGGTTTATGCTAAATCTTGCACAAAAACTCCATGAGAAAAATACACCAATAGCAAAATAAGTAAAAAGGACCTGCAAAAAAGTAAGGAGTTTTACAGTCATACTTCTTTAAATACTTCGGAACGCATATACAGAAGCATCAGCATGAAAATACTTCAATATTTTACTAGAAATGCTAACTTCATACAGTTTCTTTATTTAAATATCTGCAATTCTCAACTTTAATAATACTGAAAAAAAGGATCTTTTGTTTCGAAGGCTCTGTGAGTGTCCGTTCTGGTCAAAGTGGCCCCAGCTTCAGCTCACCCGAGTCAACAGGGCCGACCTTGTTCCTCTGATAAAGAATCCATGTCAGGTCCTAAGTAGCTCAGTTTCCTTTGACGTCACCGTTTCCCCTCCCACAAACAGCTCTCAGCCCAACTACATACCCACTAGCTCACTAACTCTTTGCATTTTAATTTCCCCCCTTAAAGCAGAACTGCAAAACCGCCTGCTCCCCACTAAAAGGATATTTCCACTTCCTGTCTATCGGCCATGCTCTTCCTGCTCATCCTGCCATAAGTACATTAAGGCCAACATAACAAAAAAAATCTCATAAGCACTGAAGGTCTCGGCAAACAACGCTGCAGTGCGCTGCGCTCCCTGGGAAGCTGCCGCCACAGGGACTACAAGTGGGACCGATGGGCCTGCAAGTTCCAATGCGTATAAACCCCGAGACCGCTCTTTCCTTCTGTGTCTGTCCCCTTTCTCCTCGTGCCCGGGTGCAAAGTCTGTCCCCCTTCCATGGCTGTCCTGTGGCGGCCCGGTCAGTTGTGGCCCTGCGAGTGTTGCAAGGCCTGGTGCATGGCGGTGGAGGCCGAGGAGGGCTTGATCCAGGGCATGGTGAGCAGGGACGAGGTGGTGGTGGTCGTCATGGTAACCTGAATCATCTGCTCGTTTTGTATCAGTCTAATGAGGGTTCGGAGACGTTCCAGCGATGACTGAGTCCCCTTCTGCTGGGCTAACAGGCTGCTTTTTAGCTCTAAGCATTTCTGTCAAACAAAGAGAGAGAAGGGAAGGCTGAGAATGCATTCAGATTGGTGTCAAACATCTCTCAAAACATCCTTTTGTGTCTTGAGAGCATGTTCTCCTCAAATGAAGTTATATTCTCCTGTGAGGATGGCAAAAGCAAAATGAACAGGGCAATCACACACACCGCAGCCATAGCGGCAGCTGTCTGAGGTAGCAGCCTTCGCCCATGTCCACGTGCATTCAGAGAACATTTCTGACTGCACCCTGTAACAAGCTTCCTGCATTCAGAGATGTAATTGGCACAGGATTCACAGAAATAGAGTCAAAGGGGTTGGAAGGGCCAACTGGAGATCACCAAGTCCAACCCCCTGCTAAAGTTGATTCCCTGCAGCAGGTTACACAGGAAATGTCCAGTTGGGTTTTGAATATCTTCAAAGAAGGAAACTCCACAACCTCTCTGGGCAGCCTGTTCCAGTGCTCTGTCACCCTCAAAGTAAAGAAGTTTTCCTTCATGTTCATATGGAACTTCCTGTGTTCCAGTTTGTGCTCATTGTCATTGGGCACTACCAAAAAGAGCCTGGCCCCATGCATTTGGCCCCTTCCCAGATATTAAGGAGCCAGTACTGTGAAGATAAGTTGTTCTCTTCAAACATTATGTCAATATTTTGGCAGAAAACCTAATCTAAGACCCTACCATTGTACCACAACAGTCACAAGAAATTATTTTACCTTCAGGATGACCAAACTGTACCCCACCATCACTTGAAACATTTCATGCAAACCTACATGAAAATGAGAACGAGAGTAGGTGCTAAACAAAAGCATTTTGAATCTCCAAGAGGCAGTAAGGAAGAATCCATTCTCTCTCCAGTTCTGTACTGCTGCAGCTGCTATCTCATCTGCTGCACATCATCTGTCCTGCGAGGGACTAAGTGATTGACCAGACACCTGAGTCTGTCTGCTAGGTGGAAGGGGATGGCCTCTCACATCTGACACCTCCTGGTTTCCTTCTCCCATTGGTCTTGACCTGGCTGTGACTTATCTGCATACTCCTTTTCTTTGGCTACCTGGAACGTGGGAGCCTACAGCTCAGGGAAAGTGAGAAATGCTCACCTGAAAGTCAAGTTGTTCAAAAAGACACTGTGTAGAGCTGCTCAGTGATTGGGTTAGATAAATGAAATCTCAGGTGAAAGATACACCACATTCTGCTTTGTACAAATAAAAGCATTTCACCTAAGCTATGTTTACAACTTCTGTCTTTAATATAAATCTCTGCCAAGGAAAATGTCAGGAATTAATTACTCTGCTCTGGAACAACTTTAATTGTTTTTCTCCTTTCAAGTGGACATATCTCCAGTAAATATAATCATCAGCTGTTTTTACTATTTAAAAAAGGTTCTTTCCCACTGAAAGAACCCAGTTCTGCTTATGTAGAAATTTTTTGACTTTGACAGTACTGACATAAACCCAGTAATTGAATCCATTCCAAATGCCTTTCTTTGTATGAACACCTCATGCCACTGCAGTTCTCCTAACCACTGAAGATATTTCTTCATACACGTTTGTTTCCATTTGTGCTGATGATGGCTGTGCACACTTAAAGAGAATATCCCCCACTGTGATGTCTTTTAATAAGTTATTGCTTTCCTTTCCATTCTATTTTAAATGTAATAAATATTTTAGCACGCTTTCTCTGGATAACTGCAGTGGTAAAACAAGCAGTGACCAGTCACTCCTGCAGCTGCCACTTTGATTCTTCCAGAGTAAAGAAGTTTCAAATATTTATTGAGCTGCCACACAAACAAACAGTTTCCCCTTAAGAGTGGGCATGAGGTCAGCTAGTACCAAATAAGCTCCTTCATCTATGGAGGACAGGGATTAGGCCTGTCATTACTGCCAGACACTGGCCCTCATAGCATAGTACATATGGGAGATATCACCAGCCAACATTAAGTTTGAAAGGAAATCACAGAGAAAATGGTTGTGAGTCCATTTTCACTCATGGAGAGGTTGTTACACCATTCAACCTCAAAGGCAAATAAAGATTGCTACTTCTACCTGATCTCAGGAGTTTTGGAGCAGCTACCACTGGAGCACACACTGATCTTTTTCCATCTGGAGGATGGAAATATCTTATTGTCATCAGACAGATCAGAGCTGTGTAGAGCACCAAAAGGAAGACAGGTACACCTATTCTGTGTTTTATGTCTACAATGGGAATTCAGTCACTGGTGATTTTTTCTCCTCAGGTTGCCCAAGGAGCTTGCTTTTGCACATAAAGGAGGTCCATGTTTTTCCTCAGACAGAACAACAAACACAGTTGAACTTTTGTAGCTTGGGAGTATAAATAATCTTCTAGCCACAAAATATCAGTTTTTCAACCATAAAGTCTTTATAAACATCTCGGCAGGAGACTGAGTCCCCAGTCAGGAGTCCTACCTTCACTGCATTGTTGAGAAGTCGATCTTTTTCTTCTAACTGTCTGTGCTCACTCTTCAGCTCGCTGCTTCTCTTTAATAACTTTCGTTTCTCTTCTTCTTTGACTGGAACAATAACATTAAGGATGTACAAGTTAAGAAAAGGTAATATAGCAAAACTGTGTGCTTGACAATACCAAGCATGTATTTTGAAAGGCAAGTTTCTGATATCAGTAGCCTTTTGTCTTGCAGATACAGCTGAATAAACCCCGAGTTTCTGTTTGCATGGATGCATTTGTATCAAAGGCTAGCACACAGGACTATCCAAAAAGCTACAATGTGCTAGAATTAATGACTGGACCACATATGACCGTGAAGTCTCCAAGAAAAAGGTGAAAGATATTTAGGAACGGGTCAGCCACCTGTAATGGCTCAGGTTCATTGACTCTGGGTGAAAAGCACAGACCATAACAGTACCAGACTTCTGCAAAGCTCCTCCCAGATACACTGTAATGCCCTAAACAGCCCATTGTAGGAGTGCAACAAGAAATAAATTGAGTAATCATCAATGTACATACATTATTTGATACAAATGACTTTGATACCAAATAAACCAACATCATTAGAGACTGATATTACTACAATATCTGAGATATTAGTCTTGCAATGTGCTTCAGACCCAAGCTGTATGTCCCTCCCTAGCCTAATCGTGTCTTTCTGCCTCCTAGCCTGATATAATTGTGCCTCAAAATACCATTTTCTTTTACCAGGAAGTCACCACTTTCATGACAGCCTGAGTGAAATTTCACTGAGTGAAATTCCTCAGAGATTGATCTCAGATTCGTCAGAGTAGATAGAGAAGGAGCAGAGACAGAGAAGGCAAGAGAAAGCCACCTGCTGTTCTCAGCCACAGCTCCTTATGGTGCTTTGATAACTCGTCACGTTGCAACACTGCTTTAATATCAGTGCCGTGAAGGATTCAAATGGTATCGACCATCATGAGCAGAGAGAATCCCTTCTCAAAAGCCATGTCAATTCCCACCTGTTTTGTGAGTGACATAGGAGTGAACAATAGCTAGAGTTCCAGTCCATGGCACATTGTCATCCTTCTTTAACACCTGTAAGCCCAGGAAACAACAAAAAGTTAGAACTTCACAAAAGCATACATTAATATTTTTCTTCCTTCAGCCTCACAGGTCTGCAGGACCAGCTCAAAAGTTTCTATCTCAGAATTCACAAGATGAAAATTAATGAGGTAGTAACTTGTGTAGCAATCTCCTTTGGGCCTTACTGCTTTCATATCCCTAAACTGATCAGCCAGTACTGAAGAGAGTAACAAAGCCTCTGCTTCTTGTTGCCATGACCAGAAAACATTTCTCAGCCCCTGATCAGCAGACCTTCATGCTGTCAGGAGTACTGTGGGAGAGTTTGGGGGCTTACATGAAAACATGACTGTGTAGACCTAAGACAGGACTGCTCTGTTCTCTACAGCTTCATGCTAGAATTTCCCCTCAATATTTTCAAAGAGTAACAAACAGTAATCCCCGTGCAAAACAGAAAGAAATCTAAGGCACAAAATCTAAGCCTCCACTCTACAATTTAGTGACACTGTACTGTTTCAGTAATTATTTTACTTTTCTTGCAATCAGCATTATTCACAGCAATTAGATAAATTAGCACTTCTGATCATAGCTATGATCAATAAATATCATATAATAAACATGATTTAAAGAACATGATGTGGTCTCCTTATAGCTTTCAGATCTACTGGTGAAGCTTCTGCTTCTGGCAATGTCTCCCTCACCCATAATGTTTACATTTTTTGTTTTGCAACACACATGTTGCTGGCTTTCTGGTAACAAAGAGAAACAAAGAAAATGAAGAGATATTTCTAATCTTTTTCCAGGACAAATCTCAGCAGATGTAATTATGGTGAGTCTAGGCACTCGATGTATGTTTTAAGTCTGGTACAACAAAAATACCAGAAATAAATGCTGCAAACTGTACTAAAACTCTCAGTATTACTCTCTCAAATGTGGTCCCCAAAACAGTGATGAAGGTTAATTTAGCTTAGTGGTACACAAATTTGATATTTCTCTTCTTTTTTCTTCTTGGTGTGCTATGCTCAATGCAGCTTACCTTTTGTTGGCACTTTGGACAGACCCAGACCCCCTTGGGGGCAGTTTTGAGGGGTGGATCCAAGCAGTTGAGGTGATATGCCCTGGGACATGTGCCACAGGGTTGCAAGTTAACGCCACGCTTGCAAGCAGTGCAGTATTCATCATGGTGGATCTCATTCTGCAAGAGAAAAGCAAGAATGGCTTGGATCAAGTCAGCCCACCAGGCGCTTCTCCGTGGGCAGCACTCACAGACACTGCTACAGCAGCCAGCCTCATTCAAAGACATATCTATTTGTCAGAAACACCTTGGCCACTGTAGAAGACAAGAGAAATAATGGTGTATGAAAGCAAATAAAAACAAATGAGCCAGCAGCACGTTATAACAGAAAAAAATAAGAATCAAATTATCAAACAGAGCAGAGAATCAACTAATATAGCCAGATTGCAGTGTAGGAATTATTTCTCTTGTTCTTGATAATGCGTATCTGACTCATATATCACCACGAGTAGCTCTATTTTGAAGCATGGGTCAAAGTGTGATTCACTTGTCCTTCAAGTCCAAAACAGAAGGAAGCAAGCAAGCAGAAGTTTCTGGGGAAAAAGCACAGTTCCATGTTTTATGCACATTGCCTTGAAGAGCAGCTAGGATAATTGTATGCTTGAGAACAGCCTTTTCCTATGTACCCTTCTTTTGTGAACTCCTCTAGAGGGCTCCTCCAGTCCTCTGTTCTCCCTGTTGTCAATTGTTTTCCGTTAAGAATCTGACAACCTTTCTCCAACAAGACTGATTAACACTTTGTCTGAAGCAATATATAACATGAACAAGACTCATCAACAAAGTTACAATGTCATGTAGTAAATTGCTATGCTAATGTAGCAGCAACGTTAATTACTCTTTGTATAATTAAGTGCATTTTAATAAAGGAGAGGCTGATTTTGAAACTCTGGTGGTTTGTGAATCTTTATATAAAAAAATCTAATTTTTCCTAGTACTTTTCCAGAAGGAAGAATAATAATATTGCACCTTTGTTAATTCCAAAAGCGTAGTTTTTTCATTTTTAGGGATATTCCTTATAATGTTTCATGATAATTTTAGTTAGACTTACATCCCGAATTCTAAATCAGTCCTATCAAAAAAACAGCTCTCCAAAATACCAACATTTTAAAATTATCTTCTCAAAAAGTTCAAACTCAAGATTGAGAGATTTAATCTATACAACAGATAATGGTCACTGATTTTTTCTTAAAACGGTCATTAAAAGCACAAATCTGGACTAGCAATTTCTCAGAGGGGATTCTACAAAGGGATTAAACTCCAGTCTTGCTCATGCAAGCCCACAAGATCCTGCCTCTGAAATTCTAACTCAGAGGCTCAAAGATTTAGTCAACTGAGGAATGTTTCACAAAAACAGTATGAAAGGCAAAGAGAATACTGCAATCCTGTACCTTGATGGAGAATACAGCAATCAGAAGAAAGCACTGAATTACACAGTGATGAAAAAATACACCTGTAATACACAAATTTTGCTACACCTACCTTCCAGAATGGATCCTCATTTGCTAGCATATGGAAAAAGGACAGAGAACAGATTAGTGCGAAATACATTGCTGAAATGAATGCTAGTTGTCAGCTATGGGAAGGAAAGGATTGTAGTTAAGTTGAGATGCGTGAGATCAGGGCATTATCACAATTCAGCACCAGTAAGTAGTTTTGAAATTTACATCATAGCAGCCCTGTGCCCAAAGGTCTGATACTAAAATGCCATTGTATGAGAAGAACAGAGTGTACTTGAAATTTTCAAGAAGTTTCCTGTGGAACTCTTCTCCACACGTCATCAATCTGGAAGCCTTCCTTAAGAACCTCAGCCTGCTGGGTGATGAACTGCCTGGCCATGCACCAGCAAGGCACTTATGCAGTTGCTTATCTTAGAAAACAGAGGTGGTGCTACCGACTTACTGTTAAACCTATATAGGTGCTCGGCTGATTCACAGCCAAAATGCTCAGCCACTTGTGGGAGTGAGCTCTGTGTTTTCATCAGCTCTTTATCACCAATCTTCTTCCACCCAAATCCCTGTGATTTTTTGACCTTTGGATGAATTGTATTCACAGCCTGATAGGAAAAAGAACCACCAGAGCTCACTGGAAAACAGGCCAAGTTTTCATTAAAAAATATTTGTGAAATTCATTATGCTTTAATCCAAAAATAAAATTTGAGAAATTTTTAATAGCTTTATGGGAAGTGCAGTGGTTTGTGATTTGTGCTGCTGACTCATTAGAGAACTGCCGTGGTGTTTCAGTGACAAGCAGCTGATGGCTTTTCTTCAGATTGATGTGGTGACAGCCAAACTAGAATTTTGTCCTTAATTTCTTCAGCTTCCTCTCTGATCACAGCTGGGAACACAGCTGCCCCCGTGTGCACTCACATGTACCAAGCAGCTTGGAAGCTGTACATGTACAGGTGAACACACATACACACTGTGCTCACATATATGTAAAAATAGGAACATAAAAACAAAGGAACAGCTTCACCTAAGTTAGCCTACAGAGACCCTTAAGGGCCTTTGCTAACAGCATCCCATGTTGCTGCTGCCCAGACGTAGAGTGCAGGAACTGGACAAGCACAGCATAAATTGCTTTTCTCCAGAGACTAACAACAGTTTATGGCTTTCCTTAAACTGGAGTTTGCATCTTCACCTTTATATTCAACAACCTTAGACGGATTCTTCCATAAATTTGTCAGCTTTTTCCAACAATTGTCACATCCTTTGGCAATGACTTCCATAAAATCTGCAGATGTCACTACACATATGCAAAAACACACACACACATCCTTCGTTATATGACACTATGATTACTCAGGGGACATAAATGTTATTCAGACAAACAAGGGCTTGGTAATTGAAGAGTCTCTTCTACAAATGATGTATGTCAGGGGATGCGACCTCATTTCAGGTAAGACATTTTCAGATAAATGAATCTTGATTAATTGACATTTCGCTGGAAATTTACAAGAATTGTTCTCTTCTGCATTTCTGGAAATGACAGTTGTTTCCTGTACTTCACAGGGATTTTTTTTCATTTGTTTATTTCTTTTCAGTTCAGTTTTGATGTAAAGTTTTTGACATTTTAAAATATGTCCAATTAAACTGAAGACAAATGTTCTAAAGGAGTGTTTTATTATAGCAGAAGGGGAAAGCAGCAGTCCACTATGGGCAGACACCTACACCTCTGTTATTCCAAGTTGTCTGGGGACAGTGACTGACTTCAGATCAGAGTTTACATCTCATCTTGCACAATGGCACCCAGTGCTAACATTGTCGCTCTCTCCAGATGTGTGTTTACAAGGGAAAAGCAAGTGCCAAGATAAGACAAATAATAATGTTGATTTTACAATAAAACTGAGCCAGGGATAACATTCTTTCAACTTGGGCTCACATGAGTATGGGTCCTGCTAAGAGGCATGTCATTGTGGCAGCTTACTGTACAATAACCTCTCTTATCCTCTGAGACCCCAGGCACTGGAGGCATATGGTAAGTAGGCCAATGGTCAGCATCTAGAACATTACATTTTGGATATAGAGAAGCACCATAGCATTTTATTTGGTAATCTCATGGAGCAGGAATTCAAGGCAGGGCCAAAAAGGTGGTTCTAAACATGACACTTGACAGGTATACCAAGAAACCCTGAAAAGATGTCTTAATTGAAGACCTAATTGCAATTACTACTGTAAATGCTCTGAAATAATAATTGGATCAGAAAAAAAAACCCTGCTGTCCCTTACCTTTAATGCACCACAGTAAAACTTAAGTTATGAAGACAACACAAGGGCAAGGAAATACGAAAATGCTTCCACTGGCTTTCTCTCCTCTTTTGACATGCAGCTCAAGTTTCTTGCTTTGTCTTTTAAAATCCTATCTGGGCCTCATCTAAAGAATTAAATTGTACTGTTGTTCTCTTTGTTTCATCTCCCACCTCTCAATACTTCGCCTTCTCTTCATGTTGCACATTTCTCCAGGAATTAGCTTCTTCACATAAGCTAATTATCATCTCAAATGACTCCTCTCAGTTGATCATTCTCAAGGATTTTACCATGAAACTTTCAGCATCTGAAGTTCTCATAAGTACAAGATTGGTAGACATCTTCAAGGCCATCAAATCTAGTTTAATTGCCCCAGCTCTTAGAGTGAGAAAAATTGTGGGTTTTGGCCACTGTTTTTAAGGCAAATGTTAAGGTAAATTTCTAGCTTTCAGAAGTAGATAGCAGTTTCTTAAAGCTGAGAAAAAGAAGCAAATGAAAAGTCCAGAATAGCAATTAATTTAGATCCAATTTTCAATACACGTTTTTAAGCACTTGGGGCTGGCAGTGCTATCTTCTTGAATCAGTCCTCTCACTGCATGGTGCTTATAGTGCTAAAGACCAGATTTACCATTGATTGCAGAGACTTTGGATCCATTTCTACACAGTTTTGACCTTTAGCTTTATCCATTATTATTATTATTTTGCAGGAAAAGCATCTATATTCACTCGACACTAAAAAGTTCAGGGTTCTTACACAAAGTAATACCCTATAGTATCCTAGTAGTAATTCATATGAAATCCTACCAATAAATATTTAACATGCAATTAGAATAGTAGTATATTCACTTAAAAATATGCTTACCTCTTGTTGAAAGGAACAAGGGGTTATTCAAAAAATTTGATGCAAGACGTTTCCGCTGGATAGGAAAAAAACCCACAGTATTATTGAAAAGTGCTCTAGTTGTCTCTTACTGTTACATATAGATTATTTCTATGAGCTCTCATACACAACAAAGTATCCAAAAGCCAGTTTAGTGTTTTAGATTATTCACTGCTAACCCCTAACATAGCTATATAAACGGTTGCCTTATTTACCTCTCTAACAGTTTCTTCATAGAGCAGTTTCATGTACATTAGATTTTATTAACAAGAGAAATGCAAATTGCAAATGTTATAGATTGCATTTCAGGTTATGTTGCAGAGGCTCAAGGCAACAGCAACAGTAGCAAATAAACAATGTCTATAAAGGAAAAACTGCACAATAAATTGTTGCTGTGAGATGACATCTTTATTTTCAGGTGGTGAAATGGTGATGGACTTCCCAGCTGCAGAAACACATCACTACTTTCTATGACACTTGCCCACAGTTAGCTGGAATATATTTTGTTTGCAAGCAATGCATTAATGCCCAAGTTAAATATTTCTCTTTCAGAAGTTAATATGTATGTTCTTTAGGAGTGGGTCGTTGTTTTAAACTACTGAGGTCACCAAAGAACTTTGAATTTGCAAACACAGCCTGCTGGAAACATGACTGAGATGTTAACAGAGATGTAATGCAGTCCATCACCAGCTTATCAGATTGTAAATGCTGTTGGTCAATAGCTACTTGGGCTTCATTAACAGTCTACATAGCACCTAATTGTTCCTCTACACCATCCTTGTACAGCAGGACTGCAAACAGTACCATTAGATGTTGTTATACTCTGCTTGAAGGAAAATTAGAAGGTTTTTGCTAATAAATGATTTATTCTGTGGTGAGTAAACTGTTCTTTTATACACAGATGCCTGGCAGCCTGTTAATGAATTCTAAATTAATGTTTCTTTTGTCAAAATATTCAGCCTGAAACGCAGCCCTTTCCAATGGAAAAAAAAAAAAAAAAAAAAGTACCCAACCAAACCAACACCAACAACAAAACAACAACAAAACACAACAGCAAAGACACAAACCAAACCAATCAATCAACCAAAAAACAAAAAACACCTGGATGTTGACAGTGGGAAAGCAACGTCTCAAAAACATTTTTAGGAAAAAAAAAAAGCCTCAAAAATTGATATGCACACCATTCAACTGAAAATTGTGATCACACTTTTGTAATCAAGAAAGTCAACATCACCACTATAGAGGCTGAGCTCCTGCTGTTTTGAGGGGCGTTGGCAAATAGATAGTCTAATTTATATGCAATTCCAATTTAAACAATCATGAATTAAAGATCATTCAGTAGACTAAACGTAAATTAATTTGCACCAAAATGCCTGAAATGCCACAAAATATCTCAACTCACTGATTAGCAAATCAATCTGAGCAGCTAATTGATCAGAGAAAAACCATCTGCCTCCATTTTACTTGAACAGCATTCCCCATGGTCAGTATTTAATGATAGCTCCTAATGAGGACACAGCTGATCAGCTATAGGACTCTTTCACAGACATTTTTTATTCCATGCTATGTCTCACCTCAGGATAAACTTTTGAGAATAGATACAATGAGAAGTAAAAACTAAGGGTGTAACAGGCCTCTTCCATCACCCCTTTTATCCCTGCTCCAAGACAAATGAGTTTCTCTTGAACACTGATCAGAATACAACCACAAAACTGCTGCTTCTTAATAAACTTGTTGAGAGAAAAAGGTTTTAGAGAAGACACTACAAATGTAGTGCTAGCAAGACTACAATTTCTACTGTGTTAAACACTGGATGTATGAACATCAGTATTTGCTATGAAGAGGTGGCTGGAGAAAAACTGAGGAGTTCTGAATAATTCAAATTCCCAGAGATGTTCTGAAGAATAAAAATGTCCAATGTTTTCAAAAAAGAACAGTCAATTCACTAAGAAGCTTGACTACACTGATAGGCTTCTTCTTAGTCTTATCTATCTGCTGTCTGCCAACAAACACAGAAATCTGAAATTTTTGCATGCCAAAAATTTCACATCGGTGATACCCACATACAAAAAAAATCACTTTATTTAGGCTTTAAGAACTTAGAACACAAAGGGATCTTAATTAAATGGAGAGCTGCCTGTGAATCAGTTTTATTTCTGCAGGAAGCTCAAATAGTAACCCCGAGCTGTGGTGAAATGTTAAAGGTGGAATTTTAATGTGCTGAATAAATCTATATTTCTCAGTTCAAAAACAAAATGCAAGTTTGAAAACACTTCCGTTCTCCTAATATGACTAAAAGGACCATCTGTATGGGTAAAGGAGTAATTAGATCCCACAAAAAATTGGTCCTTTCGGCCTTTACTAAAACCAATGTGAGTTCTAGTCTGAAGCAAGTGATGTTATGGGGAGAAAATCTGTTGCTTAGTTACTGAGATGAAAATCTGTGTGGTTTTTTTTTCTTCACATCAATATTCCTTTACAAGTGAATCTGTGGTTCTGTATTCATATCTACGTCTGTAATAAGAAGCACTTTTAAACATTTTATTGACATGAAATAGCACAGTGGCAAAAAAAAAAAAAAAAAAGAAAAGAAAAAGAGAAGTGAATGATCAAGTACCTCTGTTTCCAAGAGTCCACTGTAGGCTGGATTTGCTGTGCTTCTTCTCTTCCTTTCCTGACGTTTGCTCTGAATTTCTGTAGGCATAGAAAGAAGCATAAATTGTGTATTTCTCATTCATCAGGGAAAAATTCAGATCTAACTTGTTAAGCAAAATGCTTCTGCCCTCAATCTCTTGGGCTTTATGTTCAGTTTCAGTTTCTAAAGTGTTAACTGGGTTGCAGCAGCATTGATATTTGCTGCAGTTCAAGGCCTGACATTAATAAGTTTTTCCTTGTAAAATTCAGAACATGTCATTTTTTATTTCTCCTCTCCTTCACAGTGGACTTGTGCTGCCCTACAAGATTTTTATGATGGTCCCTCAACACACACATTTAGCAATCATCAGCAGAGAGTTTTCAAAATGCTATCAATGTCTGTTATTAACAAAGCAGAGCATATAAAGCAGTTAAACCTTGAAAGTTATATCAGATGAGAGAACAGAGATCCTTTTAAGTTTTGTTGACATTCCTTTTTCTCCATGGAGGCTAGAAAAAGGAGTCAGAATTGCATTGCTAGACTCAGTTCTATCTAGGGCACTATGACTTATTCATCCAAAATACACAACTTCACAATCCTGAGCAAAATGTTGCTGTGAGCCATACATGGCACTGCGCCACTGGAAACAGCAGCACATAATTGTTCTCACTGAGCCACAGTCCTGCTTTGAAAAGGAGGAAACACATAACTCTCTCCCGCTAAAAGGCAATACCTATTGAAGATGGCACTTACTCAGGACTGCACTTAGTTAAAATTAGTTGTGTGTATGCTTCTAGAAACATGTACAGAAAGGAAGAGTGAATTCCTGGCCCATTGAAATCTGCAAGCTTATTGCTGCTTTTATCTGAGCTAGGATTTTATTTCTGTCACATGGAATTTCTTTTTCCAGCTCTTTACGTCAGTTCAGAACAGCGAGATTATAAGAGTGTATTTTAAAGCCTACTTTTAGTGAAATTCACTAATAAAGTAAGAGCAGATATTAACAAGGAGAGTTGTCCAACATCCACTCCCTGACATGAAAAGCCAACCATGTCCTGTGATGAATCAAAAGAAGCGTGGCCAACAGGCCGAAGGAGATGATTCTGCCCCTCTCCTCTGTGCTGGTGAGGCCTCACCAGCATCTACATCCAGATGTTGAGCCCTCAGTACAGGAGGGATGTGGACCTGTTAGAGAGTGCCCAGAAGAGGGCCACAAAAATTGTGCAAGGCATGGAACAAATCCCCCACAAGGACAGGCTGAGAAAGCTGGGGCTGTTGAGCCTGGAGAAGGGAAGGCTCCAAGGAGACCCCAGAGTGGATTTTCAGTATCTAAAGGGGAGCTGTAGGAAAGAAGAGGATAGATTCTTTAGCAGGGTTTGTTGCAAAAAGACAAGGGAAAATGGTCTCAAACTAAAAGAAGGGAGAATTAGATTGGATACAAAGAAGAAGTACTTTACAATAAGGATAGTAAGGCAAGGAACAGGTTTCCCAGAAAGGTGGTGGATGCCTTGTTCTTGGAGACGTGGAAGGTTGGGCTGGATGGGGCTCTGAGAAACCTGATGTAGTTGTAGACATCCCTGTTCACTGCATGGGAGTTGGAGTAGATGATCTTTAAAGGTCCCTTCCAACTCAAAAGATTCTACGATTCTATGATTCTATGTGTGCAGCTAGCCTGATGCTCCATTTCAAAATGTTTACCAAATGAATATCTCATCCTACAAACTTTGCTATAAGATATTCATTTGGAAAACATTTTGAATGCACTGAGAGATCCCATTAGGCTGAATGTTCCCATAGTCACTTCCATTGTGTCTTGCTTTGAGCACATTTCCAAGAAGAGGAACTGGCAGGAACACTAAGCCATCAGCCCATCAAAGCACCAGGAAGACACCCTACAGAAACTCAAGACACCATCTGGTTCTGCAGAAGATCTGGTCTCTCCTGTAAACATCTGAGGTAAAGAGTCCCATCTCAGAATTTCCTCAAAATTCAGAATATTGAATTCTAGCTCTCATTTGCAACCCAACAGTATGATATAGTCCATCTTTCAGGATGCTTATGATGATTCTTGACACACAGTTCTGGCTTGCAAGCACCTTCACCATGAGTAAAAAAAGGGCCATGTATGGTATGAGTATTACTGGTCACATCCTGAACATAGTGTCACTAGGAACGAGGCCAACAATCTGCATGGATTTTTTATGGCTCTGAGTTCCAGGATATTGATTTGAAACTTCTCATTCCCAAAGGACTATTGGCTAAGCTGACACTTCTTGGGGTGATGAATGTAGCAGAAGAAAATCATATAGACAAGAAAAACAGAGGAACAACCACTTGCATATTCTGGCTGGGTTTTCTCACTGGCGTGGGAACATCATCTCTCACACTTGGGTGTCTTTTTCTAGCACAGTTCAAGACAGGTCTGATTCCCAGACTGACATGGGATAGACATATGCTGCCACGTGCCTCCTGAAACTATGAAGCATTTCATTATAAGAAACATGTGATGCAAGACTATAAAGCAGTGTGCAATAAATTCCCTGGTTGCAACCACTGCCAGCATGTTGTTAACATCCCCACTGCTATGACACCTGCAAAGAGGAGGCTCTTGTGTGGGTAATGGCTCTGTCCTACCATTAAAGTATTACCTGGCTATGAAGAAATCACCATCCTGAAGCTTCCAAACCCTACATCATGATGGGAATATGGCGTCAGCAGCTGCATGAGTGCTACGTGTGGATCCATTAATCTACCACAGAGCCACAGGGAGAAAGATAGTCTCAGTCTTACAAAAGGAATGCACTCCAGGCCAAAGGTGCCAGGGATGTAATAGAAGAAGAACTCATGTTCCTTGATGCTAGTAGAGAGAGAGGAAGTGGGCGAACACTGATTTTGGGCTTTGGTTCCATCAGTGTGAGCAGGAGCTGTGATTTCTGCAGCCAGCCCCAGTAACCCAGTGAATCCAGGGGCTGCAGAACCTCAATATCCTCATGGCAGTGTAGGTAAAAAGCTGGAGCAAGGGCTGCCCAGACTTACTGCTTCTCAAAGGTTGTCACAGGGATGCAAGATACTGGTTTGGGAAAAGAAACAAAGTACCTGACACGGCAGAGATTTCCATGTATCAGAGAGCACAGCTAGGCTGAGTGTCTTCATGAGAAGCCCATGATGGATCTGTAGCTCTCTGCCCTTTTGGGTCCCAGAATTAAGAGAGAATTTGTTTGATACATGCTCTCACCAAGGCAACAGAAATATTTGCTGTAGCCTAACACATGTGGTAGAGACCTGGAACACAGCTTTGGAAGAGGCATAAGTGTGGTGAAGAGATAAAAGATGGCTGGGGGGGAAACGTAATCATAGTGGAAATAAAAGGAAATAGAGAGAAACTAATGAACTGAAATGGCACTGGATGTCCTCTACCCTATACTGCCGTCAGGGAGGGAGGGCACAATGTCAGCACTTCATTTATAGAATGAAGGAGTGCATACATCTATCTATAAGTAATCACACCCAGTTAGACCAGAGGCAGAGACTGGTATACAATCTTTTGCTGCTTGCTATTTCTGCTACAAAGCACTGAGCATGTTTCCTTTGCTACCTCTTTCACAGCAGGTCTTAAAGAAGTGAAAATAAATCATTTGTTTTAATTTATTAAAACAGTCCAATAATATAAATAAATATTTCAGCTATTTCAGCGTCTTTTTTTTTTCTTTAGCAAGACCTGAAGTAAAGAATTATTTAGAATGGTTTCTTTTTTTTTTTTTTTCTATGTAGAATTTAATTTATTTATTTTAATACAGTGGCAATGCTGAGAAGTATTCTTTGAACCTTCAATGTCACAACCATACACTGCATCACAAATTTATTCTTTAGTTTGTTAATTTTAAAAAGTATAAACCAAACAGAAAGAAGGAAACCTAAGTGGTAATGCATTTGTCAGAGATAAATAAAATTGAAGATAGCTTTATGTTGGAGGCAAAGCTTCCACAAGCTACTGCCTTCATCAAAAAACACTCTGTATGGTTATTGAATAAGACCTGTAATGACAATTCCTCTTCAATGCAATCTGTATCCTGAAAAACATCAGTGGAAGGGGTTCTGATGATCATTTACTGTTGAGGACTGGGGATCTGCAGAACAGAGTTCTTTTCCCAGCAAGGGGAAAGAACCTCCTCTGGAAGTCAGGTGGAATGACTGGGCTGGTAGAGAAATCCTTTTAAGAAAGGTATCAGAGCTCCTCATCACAAAATCAATGAATATAACGAAGAAAATCAGTAACACTGAGATGATGTTACTGAGTGAATAGTCTTTTAATGACTCAATCCTGACACAGCCTAATTCAAAAAATGTAAAACTGAGGAATATATTAGCAGTATTAAGAGAAACAGAACCGCACAATGATCACTACTTCCTGGTAAATCATAGTGGCTGATAACCATAAATATGACACAGCACTAAAATAATAACCTTTAGCCTGTGAAAGCTAAGAGGGTATTTCTGGGAGCTGTAATCACCAACAGTCATGACAAAATACCCTTTCCATAGTAAATAGCTCTTGGTGAGAGCCGTTTATTTCAAGATAGTGGGAATATAAAAATTGAATATATCTGAAAGAATTGATTCTGGAGGATAAGTATTATAGTAGTTAGGTTCAAAATGTGCATCTCTGCACTTACTGTTCTGTACAACAAACACAGCAGAGCAGTTCTTGTCATTTTGAACATAAGCATTAAATCCATGTGAACAATTTATTAGTTCCAATAAAATCAAAGAGCAAAGAATTATTCAAAACAAAGTTCTGTTGCAAGCATAATTTCCACTTCAGCATAATTTCAAATGCTGTCCTATTTTCCCTAGACAAAGAAAACAAGAACCAGTCATCATTTGCACTTTTTGGATTAAAAATCTTCTCTCAAAATTGCTGTGGCTTTTTAATTTCCATTTCAATCCATTATCATTAAGGCATTAAAAAGGCTGATGGCTTAAAGTTTCTCTAAAATGCTTTCAAATTCTCAGTCGCTGGGACATCAAATGATTTTCTAAAATGCAGTTTTAAAGAGGAAAGAGACAGAAAAGAAGCAAAGAAAAAAAGAAAGCCCAGAAAACCTGCTGCATGTATGGAGAAGCCTTTATAATTAACACACTACTTTCTCCAGAATTCACAGCCACTCTTAAAACCAGAGAAGAGAAGAAAAATACCTTATTAAAAAAAGCTGTAAATAAGTTGGACTCTTGAGTAAGCAAGGTATCTAAGAATGTGGCTAACTCTAAAGCACATATACAGTCATAAGCAGTGTCAATTATCATTAACATTTTTGTTATCAGGATTCACTCCTGGCTGGCCTAGACACCAGATTAGCACTCCATCTATCAGTGGAATCTCACGAACTTGAACTGGCTGAGCACATAACCAAAACACATCAACCTGTAGATTTTTTCTTAACAATAGCTCCTCTCTCCATGAGAATGTGCCCATTCTGCCAAGAAACCCCCAAATCCATTTAACACCACTGGCAAATTTGCTGAACAAGTTCGTTTTTGTTCTCATCTATATCCTTATTTAGAAAGACAAAGGTGAAGCAAAGGATGGTACAAATCTGCTAACTTCTGCAAAGTTTTTTTGGAAGGATGGAAAAGAAAAGCAAACACTATGCGACGGCTGCCTTTACATTATATGCAATATCTGTTTGAACACATATTTTGAGGCCTAGGAAGTTGTACTAGCAACTCTCACATAAGAGCAAGATCAGGCTCATGAAAGTCTGCTTATTTTGGCTAAATAAAAAGAAGTGGGAAAAGGAAGACCTTGGGAGAGGTAGTTTTTCATTAAAAAAAATGAAAATGAAAAAAATTCATTAAAAAACACATAAAGCAAATGCAGAATTTCATTACTGTCATATACATTATTCTGTGGAACTCTAAAGATGACAGATGGTTTACCCAAGAAATGAGAGCGTGTCCTTCTCACGTGAGGAAAGAGGGAGGGCATGCTCGCTACAGAAGACTGGGATAAACTTTCTATCTTTGAATGACTCTTGCTGACACTTCAGGCAGACCAAAGTTGGCCAGAGCCTTTGCAGACTTCCAGCTTCACTATCTTCCTTGGCAGGTAACTGCCTTTAAAAGACCACGTTGACAGAGTGAGCCCCAACACCAGGTTATGCCAGGCATGCTGCTGCTGGCTGCAAAGCCAGTTGTCACACCATGTGTGATGAGATGGGAGGCAGAGCAAAACACAGACACCCATTAATTTGAGGCTGAAAAGCACAACTGTACACAAGCAACATTTTACCTAATCTTTAATTGCCCTTCTGAGGACAAAACTACCCATTTCTTTCAGCTGTGGAGCAGCAGAGAGAAAAAATATCACTCAAAAATCTGAACTGTGAAACAACACATGCCATCTTACCTTCCAAATGTTCTGTGGTAACCAGTCCTAATGCTACCATGAAGGCAATTTTCTATGAAAAAAATAAACAGGGGTTAGATTTTCTGCTGTGACAATCCTGGTAGAAGTAAGTAATCTAGCACTGATAGAATAAGCCTAATAAAGGTCTTTTAGAAATGTCTATTACCTAAATGCATATGAAAAAGCAATTCAAGATTTGCTTCAGATATGCCTGGTCAGTCATGCCCTACTTGTAGAACTATAAGTAGTGTTCAGAGACATAAGGCCAGTGCTGTATGAGTACGAACGCTACATAACACATGATCAAAATACAGTCAATTCGATTTCATATTGCTAGTTGCATTGTTACTCCACTCTTTCGAGAAGTGATTGTGTATTATTATCACTGTCTGGACCTTGCACTGTTTTTACTGGATATGAGCAAGCTGTACTAAGAAAATATGACACACACTTTCATTGAACTTTACAATACTGTACATCTGTTAATAATCAAGAAGACATTAGAAGTATAGTCTCCCAACAGAGACTCTCCTAATTAGTCTCTCCTAATTGCAGCCTTTCAGTACCTAAAGGGAGCCTACGAACAGGAGGGGAATCAACTCTTTGAAAGGGTAGATAACAGCAGGACAAGGAGAAATGGTTTTAAGTTGAGGGAAGGAAGATTTAGGTTGGATGTCAAGAGGAATTTCTTTACAGAGAGTGGTGAGGTACTGGAACAGGCTGCCCAGACAGGTTGTGGATGCCCCATTCCTGGAGCTGTTCAAGGCCAGATTGGATGGGGCCCTGGGCAGCCTGGTCAAGTATTAAATGTGGAGGTTGGTGGCCCTGCCTGTGGCAGAGGGGTTGGAGATTCATGATCCTTGTGGTCCCTTCCAACCCTGGCCATTCTGTGATTCTGTAATTCTGTGAATAGAACAGTTCAGAAATTGCTCTTCCCAAGTTACAGAAAAATCATAACACGCATGAAGTACAAATAAACACTCCGATACCATCCTCCACTGGGGAGTGAACAAATACCTTGCACTAACAGTGGTGAACTCACTTGACAGTGGGGAATGTGATCTAAAATATGACTGAGAATTCTTGTACATTGTATACATACAAAACACATTTGAATATCAACAAAACTTCAACACATAGCTGTGCAGTAATAGGGCCAGTACTAGAGCAGACTTTTACATTTTGTGTCAGTGATTTCTCATTGGGAAATTCTTCCTGGCAGAAAAAGTTTTGCTGGATCAGAAATTCCTTTTTATCCATTCTGTTTTCTTAAATGGAAAGCTGATATTCTGCTATGTAGTTCCTAGCCCAAACTGAACTGAACTCTTGGTTTCAAGTCAGACCCGGGATAACACGAAGCCTCCTTTCTGTGTTGTTCTGAACAGCCTTGTTGGGCCATGTTACACAGGTGGCGTTTTCACCAGGTGCTATTCCACAGGAGAGATGATCTAACTTGAAAACCCAAGCTATTAGGAACACAGGCAAGCAAAACTCACAATCCAACTGTGGCAAAGCACCCAAAGACCATTGGAGGAGATAATCATCATGCTCAACCAAAATAAAATGAATAGGTTTAGGTTGAACTAACTGGAATGTTTAGGTAGTAGAAGGTCAAAACGTTGTTTCGACCAGAGAAACAAACAAACAAACATAGAACACATTTCAACAGTCCCAAGTCAAAATTAATTTGACTCCCTTGTTGATGAAAAGTACGATGATTCAACTTTCAGTCCAGGATAAAATCAACTAGTAAGTCACTTTCATGCATCAGTAAACGGAAGCACATGCTCATTTTAGAAAGGAAGGATCTAGCTAAGGAGTGGGTTCTTCAAAAATTAGAGGGTGAGGATTGGATATCCATACTGCTCTTCCATCTGTGAAAATATCTACATTCAGGAGATGAACTAACAAAGCCATAAGATAGGAATACTGTCACTCCATGATCCCCTAGTATGTAATTCCTCCTGTAGATTAAATAAATGATAATTTAAAACCTAATCACCGGCAATTTAGATGGGACACATGCTATATTTCTGCCCTCCATAACTCTGGTAATGACAAGCACATGTACATATGCATGTCACACTCTGATTTCATTAATGCCTCACTCCTTACATGTCTAAAACACCAGCTACACACAGTGGGGATTCCACATGTGAAGGGAAAGATGAATATTTGATCTGAGATGAGACCCACTGTGAAGATCTGAGAAGAAAATTTGTCAATTGAGTAGAATTACAAGCTTCTCTTCACCCCTACTGAAAGTAACTTTGTGGCAGGATACGTCAGCGCTCTGAGCAGAAGTGACAGCAACATTTCAATACAGAATTAAGAGAGTTGAAATGGTTAATGTGAAATGTATTTTCCCAATGGAGAATGGATTGTCTATCTTACCCAAAGATCAGGCTGTAAAGGGAGCATGTATTTTCTGACATCTAAACTAACATTATTTGTGTACAGGAACGCTTGCTAAACAATTTTCTCTCTTTATACTAACAATATTCGAATACATATCTAATTAAAGGTAATGAAAGCATACTTGCTTAACGTACGAAGAGCTTTCATAAATGGACTTGATAATTATCTCACTATTAAAGAAAGGAAGCATTAGCTTTTATAGTTGTTTGAAAGATGGATTCTTTTTAAAGGTTTCAGTAAAAGCTGCATTCATTTTAACAAGCATATTATATTAACAGCATTTTTAAAATGGGTTTTGCTATTTCATGCTCATGCAGCTCATTGGATTAAACTCAAAATACTGCTTCCACTGCAGTGCTTTGCTTTCAAGTACCACTGAGTAATGGCAGTGCAATGCTGTTTCTTCTCTGCACAGAAATCCACAAAACTGATCCTTTAGTTTTTCCAGCTTTTTAATCACTAGCATTTAGTCCCAAATAGCAACGAGTATCTCTTTGTCCTTGTAAGATAGAATTAAAATCACCGTTAGCTAAACAACCAGCATTTCTGGCATTAATTTTTCTTTTAAATAAAGAAATGCTAGAAATGTACCAGAAATGTAACATTTTACTGACACACAAAATGAAATGCAAAATGTTTTGTGCAATTCTGACCGTCTCTTTCTGTACTAAACTCAGTAAAACAGCGACGACAACAACACACTGATGACACAAAAATAACAGGCACTTTCTTCACAGAAGAACTGCTCCCTAGCATAATTTCTTAATTTCTAGCTGGGGAGCTGAGTCTAGAGTCAGTTTCCCAGCAGAAAGTTCAAGGCAAGAACAAAAGACAACCAGCATCCTTGATCTCTTGTTTGTTTAGGAACTCAGGAACTGCAGGTGGAACTTCTGGCTACTGGAAGGTCTGGTTATTTCTGGATTATTTATTTTGAATTTTAAATGTAATTTGTTCAATCACAGTCTCTCATGATGGACATTTATGTTGGGACATACTTGAGTTCCTGCCCCAGTTTTGTGCTTTGAAGACAAACAAAGGTGTGGAGAGAAATGCCTAGGTTGCTTATTTTCCTTAAGAAAAGATCACAGTATATTTGTTACTCTTTGTCTCAAATTTAATCATCTGTTAAACAGCCATGACTGCTTTTAGAAATATGCAGTATGTCTTTTCAGAAGCAAAACAAAGATTTTTACAAAACCATTTCATTTTATAATTGCATGTTCTATTTATGTCATTACATGTGTTTACACTAATTATGTTGTTAACTCTAATTACGCTAATTGCTCAAATACATTACAATCAACTAAAGTTTACTTTCAAAGAACAAAAGAATTTAACTCTAGACCTACATATTTATGGCTGTGAAACAAATCTAAGAAAAGAAAACTAAAGTCATACTTTAGGGCATTACTTCAGCATCCTACCTACCCAGAAAAACATGCTTACTGAGGCCTCTTGTATGCACTATAGGAACAATGATCTTGGTTACAAAAGGGCAAGCAAAGAGACCATTGACACCAGGACATACTTGCTAGCAATTTAACAGAAAGCTCATTAAATTTAAGAATGCTATACCAACATGTGTCCCCAGACACGTGGTCTCTTCCTGCATCCCTCTGGACAATATTTGCTTAATACACTTTTGAAGGAGATAAGTTATGGGCAAAGAAAAGATGTTTTTTCTAGAATTCTTTTTCAAGCAGAATCTATTCGCCTTTCTGTCCACCAGGTGCTGCACAATAATAATAATTTGGAGACACTTTTCTAAAGAAAATAGATTCATGTGGTCCCATTGTTCAGTGACAACGAAGATTCATACAAAAAGTCATATTTTAAGCTGGGGAGATTTCGTAAGTGTTGTTCAGCATAAAGCTGTGATATTCCAGGCCAGAAGTCACAATATTTATTCCTTAACACTCTTCTAAGTATACAAGCCTCTCAAAATGGCAAAACTAACTACCACCCACACTGCTCACATAACATTAAAAACTTATATTGCAATAGTCCTCTTATACCTACAGGCCCAAGGATGCCTTCTTGCTACAAACATATTAGAATAATAAGGTTAGGATGTCATGTGATCTGAGCATTTCAACATCAGAAGTAAATTCAGCTTGTATAATTTCTCAAATTGCCTCTAAAGTACGCACAATCTAATTTGAATATATCTAGTAAAACCAAAATGCCTGTTAAACATAGTCTCCATTTCTACATCTTCTGATTTGTATTTTTAATTTACATAGTAAATATAGTTCATGAAAGAGATTTAACCCTATAACCTGCTCTTTATTCAGAGGAAGAACGTGCACATGTTGGATGGCAAGCACACAGCAAATGCAAGGAAATATGCTGCTACATGCAATCTAGAGACTGCAAAATTCATTACAAAGAGAACAAAAACATAAAAGTTTGGCTTACAGAAAGAAATAATAATTTGATCTCATATACAGCCTGTAAAGCTGGTGTTAGTTATTTGCTAGCATAAAATAAATTATCAGCTTGTATATATCTTTCAGAAGAAATACAACTATACTCATACAAGGTGCCTGAATCACTGTAAGACCTATAATTCTTACATTCTGTGACAATGGGAGATTTGAATGATGCAAACCAAACTTGTCAGAGCAGCTCTCTAGGGCAGGAATCACTCCATTTGCAATGAATCACAAGCACAAATACAGTAATTATATACACACACAGAAAAGTGTTTAGAAATGGTCCCTAGAATTCAACCATACTGTAACACATTTATAATGATAATAATAAAATAAATTACCTCTGGATTTTCCTCCTTTTTCTTTTTGGTAGCAGGGGGTCCCTGAGCTGACTCTTCAGGAGGTTTCTTTGTCTCCACTTTACTTTCTGTCTGGGTTTGGACTTGAGGCTGAATAATGATAACCTAAAAGACAACGTACAAATGAAAGAACAGAATTCACTACACGAAACTGGAATTTTCTGCCCGAAACTTGATTCTTCACAGAATGGTTAGTTGATACCTATGTAGATAATAAATGCAAATCATAAGTCAATAGTATCAAGAACTGGATACCTAGCTTAGGTCTCTAAATCTCTACTAAACTTTCCACAAATTAATCTTTATAGGTGCATCATAAACTAGCAGCAGCCTAAGGGAGCTATTTGACATTAACATCTCTGCAAATCAGGATACTGTATTCAGAGGGCTACTGAAGCTGTTTCTGTGGCCTAAATTTACTATCCAGGTTGTCAGTGATTCTAAATTGTTCCCTTTAATTCACTTCACATACACATAGAAGAGATAGAACTACTATACTTTCAAAGTAATAGCCTGATCTCAGTCATCCCAGTGTTATCTCATAGTAAGTACACGTGGAGTGGAGGGAAGGTGCTCCTCAGTAATACTGATGTAACTGAGATCAGAGTCGAGTCCTTAGTATTCATGGATTATGAGTGATGGACATCCAGTTTTGCATAAACAAAGTAAAATACACTTTTTAAATTAAAATTAATTGAGTTTTAGAACCTTAGCTATAGGAATTACGACACAGATTATGCATGCATCTACTACTTTCTGATTTACTACATAAAGATTTACATGTTACAAATAACATTACCTCAGAAGGCATTAAATTAAAAGGAATGAAAGACAATTTTTGATGCCAGAACTACACATGTGACTTTATACCCACAATCAAAGCTTCATAGAGAAGTATGGAAGTTTCCCAAGGTCACCTTCTTGATGAAAGTTATTGGATTTCAACATGGAGTCTCTTCCATCTAATTGCTAACCTTCAACCAATTTATTTAACTGTTATATACGAGTACTTGATTTCCACTCAGTCACTCTAAAAGGCTCAATAGCATAAAAAGGTATTTTTTTTTTAACCAGTAGCTAGTTTGAGAAAGAAAAATAAATAATTTTATAGAAGTATGGAAGAGATGCTTAGTTTTATTTATTCACAAACCATACTGCATCCTGTATTCTTTGTTAGTACTGTATGAGAACCTGTGCTGCCAATAATATCCAGAGCAGCAGGATCCTAGCAGCAAATTACAATGAATGTCTGCTGGTTATTTTGGCAGACTTTATTGAATCTATTTCTGGTACACGAGTGGTGAAGTTCTTGTATTTCAAAGCTGAAAAACAGTACAAACAGGAAACAATAAATTTATAACTTGATTTTTTCCTACTGATCTGTTGATCAGTTTTGAAACTATAATCTCTCATTTCATTTGGCTTGCCCCTGGAAACATAGAAGGGAATGCCTGATTATTTGATACAGTCCCCTGGGACCAGTTGATATAACTGATATCACCATATAATCGAAGAGGGAATCCATAGGAAATTTGAACCTGCACAGAAATCAGAAATATTAATAAGAAATGGCTTAAGAAAAGGGAAGATCATAATGCCAAGTTATATACTGATGCATTTTAATCCCACTAAAAACAAGCTGTTTACACTAATAAACATGTTTACTAATAAAAATGTTTACTGGCATCCATGTGTCCTGCTAAGGATTTTCCCATTGCATTCTGAATATTTCCTTTCCCAGAAACCACCAGCACTATTCCATACAGAGCTGTGCAGGACGAAAGGGACAGGCACTTACTGGAAAGAGTCCAATTACGGGCTATCAATATTCAAGCAGTTCTGTAAGGAAAGGCTGAAACAGCGGGCTTTGTCAGCCTGGCGAAGAAGATGCTTGAGGGAATCTATTCAATGTGTACAAATCCATGAAGAGAAGGTAGACAGAAGAAGGAAGTGGGCTCTTCTCAGTGGTGCCCAGTGCCAGAATCAGAGCCAATGGGCACAAATTGGAGCAGAGGAGGTTCCCTCTGAATACCAGGAAGCAATTCTCTGCTGCGCAGGTGTCAGAGCATTGGCACAGGTTGCCCAGAGGTTGTGGAGTCTCCTCCTCGGAAATCTCCAGAAGCCACTTGGATGTGGTCCTGAGCACACTGCTCTGGGTGTCCCAGCTTGAGCAGGGGACGCAGCAGAATTCCCTTCCCACTTCAGTGATTCTGTGAACATCCTGCTCACATCTGCATCATAATTCCCGTGTTCGGCAACTCGAAGGCAGCAAGAATCTGAACCTACCTTGCTATCGGCGCTGATGAGGAGTGGCTGCACTTTGATGCTGTCATTGACCACAGAGACAGTAGCGCTGGTGCTGATAGGGGCTGCATTGCTGGGGGAGGTGGAGATGATGGCGTAGGCCACACCGGCACTGCTCAGAGGTGATGAGAGAGGGGTAGGATCGGTGACGCTCTGTGCCTGGCTGTTAGGCGTCTCTACATGGCTGACGGTGTTGTTGGCTGTGGGGAGGGCAGGGCTGGGGTTTTTGATGCTGACGACGGTCGCCTTTTGGAAGGTTGGAGGCTGCTTGGATGGTTGGTCTCTGCATGGGGAAATAGGGAGGCTGTCTGGAATCAGGGTCTTTGGCCTAACCTGAAAAAAAAAAAAAAATTAGATGTTATTAGGCATAATCTAACACTGTAATGGATAAATGCTGCACACATGCACTCTGCCCACAGACTAAAATTGTATTAGCCATGCAACAAGAGCGTTTACAAAAACATAACATTGCAACTTCAGGTTGATAGCCATTCATTTGCCTGTAGATGTATTCCCTCCACTCCTCAACTGAGCCATTCTGTAGTCCCTAACTCACTGCATTGCTGAACAAGAAGGGAGAAAAAAGTCAGTCCCTCCCTTTTATTAGCACACATCCGTGGAAGTTACTTGAGCCACATTTGGTTCTCAGTAAGGATGTTACCATCCAAAGCAGAAAGAGAGAGAAAAAAAAAAAAAAAATGCCCACAACTGCTGAACTTAATATTCTGTTGCTGCAAGTAGAGAATTGATTCACTGTTGTGGGTGTGCACAGAAGGCACTTCCACGGATGGAGGGGAAGCCATTTGCCAGTGTTTGTGTAGGCTGCACCTTTACATGGAACAATGAATGATAGCTGAAAACAATAGTTTCCAGCTAATGTGATGTGTTTCCAGTGGAGTAATTAATGTCAGCCTGTCAACAGGGCTCTGACTGAACAACGTGGTAAGTACAGTTCTAGAATTGAAAATAAATAATTTAAACTGCTTCACATGAAGTTAACTTCACTCCTGGCTTATTCGTTAACATGGCCACATAAAACAGCTGGTTCCTTGTGTGCTTATTTCATCCTGTCACTTCTTGCACCTTCCATACTGTGAAACAAAATGACAGGCTGCAGCAGACAGGCACTGGAAACAGCTGCCTGTGCCCTTCCAGTGCTGCTGCATCCAACCTCCAGCCTTAGTACTCCACTGAATGAAAAGACAGGGATGTACTGATGTATGGAAAATCACATCTCAGGGCTGGCCATCAGCCTCTGTCAAGGAGGAGCCATACCCAAAGCTCAAGGAGAGTACTTGCGACACATGTATTTCAGCTCTTTGTGTTTCAGTAGCTCAGCCCTCAGTTACCACTCGGTCCTTAGTTCAATGAACAGTACAAATATGCATTAGAATTACAGTCCCTCTTAGTGGTGTGTGAACTACAAGCAATTAAGGCAAATGGAAAGCAAAAAAGCAAATCCAGCCAGGCTGGAGGCCTTGACCAAGGTGTGGCAACAGATAAGCAACAAAGCTGGAAGGCAGGATGTTCACTCACAGCTTCGGATTAACACTGAAAGGCCTTTCAGACTCAACGCAAAATGTCTCAAAACTACACTAAACTAGGACAAACCATACTCAAGATATGCTGAGAATAACCCAATTTTTATATATATATATTTTTCCTCTATTCAGTGAGTTCAGATTCACATATTTAATATAAGGATTACTTAATTTACTTAGTTAGGATACCAGACAAATATCTTGTCCAAGATATTTGAGAACGGAGTTTATATTTAACTTCATATTGACAACTTGGTAATGATCTAATTTTCAAAAGCAATGCCCAGAGGTTTGGTTTAAAACCACCCTCACTCAGGTATTTCACAAAACTAATGCTTATTACATGAAAAACTGCCCAGTGCAATAACAGCATGAAGCAGAGACAGATACTTAATGCACCTTGCTCACGTCTGGATCAGTCAATTATACAAGCAGATATTGTAACATCTATTTTTACACTTTCATAATAATGCCACTTTCCCTCCTATACGTTATATAAGTCTCTCATATGTAAGCCTTTAACAAGCTGTTCAAGCCCATGTGCTCAGAGACACGCTCACAGAAATAGTGCCATTATTCAGAAAAAGTCTGAGACGCTTGGCAAAATACAGTTGAAATGTATTCTCTCAGCCAAAAAAAAATTGAAATTTAATTCTAAGCTGTCTGGCAAACTTCTAAATGTTGCTATTTCTCCTTCAATGTTTTTTAATTGTAAATTAATGTAACACCAGTTACCAGCAGAAATATTGCAAACACACAAACAGATAAGCTCACAGATACAGAGGGTGAGAGAGAGAAAATAAATAGTAGCTCTCAGATCGAAGACTCGATGTAACAGTCCCTGAGATCTTTAGAAATAATCAAGTCTGATAACAAATCATCTCAGTAGTTCTTTTAGCCAAAAACTGTCAGGCAGTCTATACAGATCTACTGTTATCTGTCACTGTCACTTGCATGTTTATATTTAAACAAAAGTCTACTGAAAACTAAATTCCTATATATACTCTAACTAATTCTATAGCTATCTTTTCTACACCATTACCTATATATATATTGATGAGTGTAATACTTCAACAGATTTTATACAGGCTTTTTATGCAATTATGCAAATTTTGCAAGTTGTGGATGTCTGCATATGACTTTCCTATATAATAAGATCTTCCTGCCCATTTATGCAGACTTAATATTTCAAAGTAACTTATTCCCTAAAAAGGCCTGTGTGTTGATACATCAAATACAATTTCTCAGTAGTACAGCACAAGAATCCAAGCTACTCCGTGAGCCTATGAAGAACGTAAGGTGGGCATTTTCTGCCACCTTGTGATACAAAGCAGGTATAGCGGTCTTCCTATCCTAAGGCTCTGCAAATTCCCTGACAAGTTCATAGTTGTGAAAGCACACTTATTACAGAGTAATTAAAACTGTTGAAAACGACAAAGTTTAAGGTGTTCCTAGCACAAATCAAACCAAAAATAAGTTAAACAGTATTTTTTTCCACAGCCCACAGACATGGATCCAAAAAAAGAAAACATGCACAGAAACCCCTTCCCATCCACAGTGCTCTGACACCTATGAATCATAGCACTGAGAGTAAGTGTTCAATAGTGCTAAGGGGAAGATCTCTAACAGAGTTTCATAATACCTGCTACAGTAATAAACGGTGTCAATTGGGAAGGAAAAAGAAAAAAGAGCGAGCTAACAAATTCATTCCTTGCACTGCAAAGCTGTTGCCTAAGTGTCACCAAGGAACAGGAGAAAAAAATAGGAGCAGAGTATGGACTGCCTTTTACATACAAGGTGATAAAAATCCTCTTCCACTCCAAGTAGCGCAGGTTGCATGGTACCAGCCCCCACTAGAAGTCATGGTAAATAAAAGGTGCCTAAGTTTTCGAGAAGTGAATAGGAAGAGTAACAGACAGCATGTGTGTCACAAAGAGAAATCTGCAACTGTTTCTCCTGTAGCTCAACCCTTCCTCTCCTCAAATATCTTTCATTTAACTTCTGACAGCTGTCAAAACAGAATGTGATACTACCAGGGCTATAAATGTAGTAGAGGAAGAGCTGCTTCTTGAATGCAGTGATTTCACAATGCCACGTTGTTCTCAAGTTTGATCAATAACTTTGATAACAAAAACCATTTTATTTTCGGCAGCAACATTCAGACACCCATAGTATTTTTCAAGTAACCTGCAAGAGAAGATATTTCCAGACCTGGGAATTCATAAGGTCTTCTCAGACCAACAAATAACAGGGAGCTAGATCCAGTAAGAGGTGCAGAGTGCTCTTTTGTTCAGCAACCTCTAATTTCATGTATTTTAAAGAATTTGAGATCAGAAGGGAATCAGCTCTTGTGACTAACATGCCTTCTTGAGCATCCCATATCATTAAACTCCATCCAGACGCCCCTATGTGAATCCAAAGGCTTCTATTACACTGAAACATCATTCCAGCTCTCAAGAGCAGAAATTGTTGCATACCACAGAGGTGCACGAATGGCTAAGTGGCTGCAGTGGCAGAGCCTGATATGCGTCACCACTGACAGAATCAGCTGTGATTACAGGCAATCTATGTCCTATCAGGTAAACCACTCCTGTGCTGTAGTAAAGAAAAAGGTAAAAAAGAAAAACCCTTACAAAACAAGTCCTCAACACCCAACCCAAGCAAGTATGGGGGAGATGAGAATGAAAACACAATTACTCCCATCTCTGTGGGCAATGATATGTAGTTCTAAAGGACAGGACTTAATGAGAATTGTTATCTCTGGGCAGATCTGCAGGTTCTCTGAGAATTCTGGCAAATACATTGTCTTCGTGGCCCAGTGAGAGAGGAAAGATAACAAGAGAACTTCAATTACAAAACCAAAAGAGATCATCATGATCCTCCAAGTCACAAAATGGCCATAGAATTTATCCCAGAAACTTAAGTCTGATTTTAACAGAAAATATGAAGGACTTCTTAATGATGAATTCATCGTCAGCCCCAAAAACTTCTAATATTTTATTATGCTTGCAAGTGGCGTTTTATTGCAAGGTTGAATTTGCCTAAGTTCAGCCTCCAGTCCTGGATGTTGCTATAGCTTTGTCAGCAGCACTGAAAAGCCCTCCCCCTTCCCAGTACTAGATATAAGCTGGATCGTGCTCAGCATCAATCAGCCCTTCATACTGGCAGGGGCGATATGTACGAGAGCAAATTTTTCAGCTCAACGCAATATCACATTGCCTTTGAGAGAAAGACCATTATTCACACTTTATTTTCACTTCACCCTTGTACTGGGAGCTTAAAAACAAAAACTCAAAATGTATTTGGCACAATTCATATGTCACAGAGGCAAAGTGCTGGGAGCAGCAGACAGAGCTTTCATTCTTGAAAAGCTTCAGAGGATCACACAGAAAACATTAGCTATGGCTGATAAAATGATTGCAATATGGGGTAATTATAACCTTCACCAGAATGAACAGATGCACAGTGACTTCAGTAAAGCTGTATCTATTTATGGCAGCTGAGGACTGACTTTCTCCATCTTTTTTTTTTTTTTTAAATCAATAAAAATTGGGCAGAAAAACAGGTTCTTCATAACTTCACAGTAATGACATACCCTAACATCCAGCAGACCCAAATAAAAGCATTTCTACTTTCATTGATTTTTAGTATCTTTCTTGATTAGCTTCTGTTGTCATCAGATTGGTCTGATCACAGTCAAACACAGTTTATTTTCTTGCCACAGTGGCAAGATTTAAAAACACAAGTGACTGTGGATCCACATGGACTTTTCTTCCTTCCCATTGATGGAGC